CAAACTATCAAATTTCACAAGGAATAGGATTGGATGGGCATGTATTTGGTATGAGAAGCAGCAGCAGTTCAGCTTCTTCTACAACAGCGAAAGAACATCGCGATACTTTCTGTAGTTACTTCAATAACGAAGGAAAAGTTGAATGGCAAGATAAAATTTAAATTAGCAACTCATAACTACTCTTATGTTTATTATTTTACATTATAATATATTATTATGGAATGTATTTTAAAAAAAAAGGTTGTGTAGCGAGCCTCGACTTGATAGGGTTGAGCTCGTACGATTATTTAATGACGGAGACCTCGTTGTTGATTGGTAGATGGAAAACGTCAGAGGTTGAGACAAAATACACGAACGTTAAATGTACGTAAGACTTTATTAAATGAATTTAAACAAGTACAATGAAAACTAACTAAGTACTAAGGTAATCTACGGTTCAGCCGCAAGGAGTGAAACATAGACTACGTGTTGAGGCGAAGACACAAGTTAGTTCTGTCCTAGTATACAAACGTATCCGTATATATACTAGTGTTACTCCTACGTTTACGTGCTTCTGTAAGGTCGACAATAAGGAAAACGGAAATACCATAAGGAAACAGGAAACAGGTGTGTGATCGTTACACAACCCAGTTCACGCTCAAAATAAAAAATAAAAACAATATATTTCTTGCATTACCATTCCCGGTGTGCAAAATCCTATAGCATAGTATTCGCACAGTTGTCACACTGACGGTTGAGAAGTTACGAATAAGTGCCTGTTGACTTCTCAAAGATGTGTTACGCCCGGTTGAACGAAGTTACTGTATGCGATATCAACATGTGATTACTCATGATTACATGAGTAGTCAATAATGTCATATTGAGAGGTTAATAATAATGTTAGTACATAAAGATTAATGGAACTTCTAATTTTCTGCGCATAGACTTTGCAATGATTATTGTCCAGAAAAAAAAAACGATAAGTTTACTTCACGCTCGCCGAGATTCGATCCGTTCACCCTACCTATCTATTCCTAGACCTATACTACTGGGACACCGTATCGAGACATTTGGTAATAAATAAGTTGGCATACTAAAAGTAAAAGCAAATATTATATATGTAACATTATACAATGATGCGTTTATAAATAAAGCGGTGATGGTTTTTCGAAACTGGTGGTAAATACTGTGTGTTCAATTTTAAATCTAACAGGAAATATTGAATGACCTTAAATTCGATTTTGGTTTTTTTTACAGTATACAGGACCTATAAATATATATGTTTTTGATAAATTCTAATTTTTAACTTTTTTTTATCTGTGAATGCGCAGTAAAATAAAAATTTCTTAAATAGGAATCATCATTTTTGATACTGAATTTGGATTGCTCTATTTTTTTGATCAACTTTGATCTTTACAGTTTTTTGATATGTTCAAAATTAACATTTTTTAGATATTCGAAAGTTATAAATTAGGTAATTCGCATTTAACGCATTTTCCAACAAGATGGGGCTCCCGCCCATAATGCAATTATTGTTCGAGAATACCTTAACCAAATTTTGGCAATAAATGGATGGGTACAAATAGTCCAATACAATGACTCGCTAGATCACCTGATATAACGCCATTGGATTATTTTTTATGGGGACATTTAAAAACAGTAGTTTATGAATATCCACCTATTAATCTTGATGATTTGAAAAATAAAATATTCAATGCGTGTAATGAACTCACCGAAGATCAAATAATAGCAACTATACAAAGATAAGTACTAAGACGAATGGAAGCATGCGTTGAAAACAATAATGACAATAATTTTGAACAGTTTATGGAATAATAAATTATTATTATTATTATTATCTTATGATATTTGTTTATAAATTCAATGTTATAATAAATACACCTTGTAGTTTTAATGAAATAAATTGTTATAATAATATCTGTAAAGGCTTGATTAAGATACGTTGAGCGTTGAAATATGCGATAAACACGAATTACCTAATTTAAAACTTTCGACCGTCTTAAAAATGTCAATTTTGAACATATCAATAAACTGTAAAGATCAAAGTTGCTCAAAAAAAATAGAGCAAACCAAATCCAGTGTCAAAAATAGTGGTTCCTATTTAAGAAATTTTTATTTTACATTCGCAGATAAAAAAAAGTTAAAAATTAGAATTTATCAAAAACATATGCATTTATATGTCTTTATTTTGACTTGCTTTTAGATATTTTTTTTTTTGATAAAGGTGGACAAACTTATTAGGAGTCTTGTATTACATTTTCAATTCTTAGATTTAAAAAGAAAAATTTTTATGAATTTCTAACTCAAAATAATTTGCAAATTATCGTCATTTTTGCGTATTTTGTCAAAATTTCAAATTTAAATGCTTAGAAAAAAAAAATTGTGAATACGGATTTTTAATATTTTTCATCTACGTTTAAAACAATATATTAGAAGCCTGCTATTAAATTTTCAAGAATTTTTACCCAACAATTAAAATTTTATTGATATTTATAGAAAAAAAACCTAAGAAAATTGAAAACTGAAAATGACCGTAAACAGTTCAAAATAAGTCAAAATATTTTGAAAATGTTATGGAGTGTATAAACTGCTTATATAAGCATTCATTCAAAATTTCATGTATCTACGGTCATTTGTTTTCGAGTTACATCAAAAACCAAAATTGATTTTGTCGAAAATCGGTGATGCGTAAAAATTCCCGTTTTTTCCTTAATTTTTCATTTGTTTATCACGAAAATTTTAAAAACTACTGAAAATTTTTTACTTTTGACCCCCCAAAGTACCATATAGATTTACTTTCCTATCAGAAAAGATACTATTTAAGAAAATCTAAGCATTTTTACTGTCCTAAAATGTGATGACAGACACAAAATAATAAAAAAAAAATAAAAAAAACATACATCATAGTAAAATCAATACATTCATCGCTCCGCTCAGAATGTAAAAATTAGGTATAATAGTACAATTATTTATATAATGCACCTATTTATTTTTCAAATATATGGCTACTGGTAAATCATTGAGATCATTGGCTTTTTCTTTTAGAATTTCTCAAAGTTACATTTCTCGTATCATTCATGTGGTTTTGAAAAGTTTGAGTAAACAACTAACTCCTATTTTATTAAAAGAAAATTTAATTCATGTAGCTGAGAATTTTTGGAATAAATGGAATTTTCCCAATTGTGTGGGAGCCATTGATGGCAAACACATACGAATATTTGCTCCCGGAAAAAGTGGTTCTTTATTTTACAATTACAAAGACTATTTTTCCATTGTGCTTCTTGCAATTGTTGACGCCGATTGCAAATTCATATTTGTGGATATAGGATCATATGACAAGGAAGGAGATAGTGGAATTTTCAACAAATCCATTATCGCAGAAAATATAAGAACTGGAGATTACTTTCCTTCGCCCGGGAAATTGCCAAATTCAAATGAAATATTACCGTATGTTCATATTGGTGATGAAGCATTTCGTCTGGATCGGCACATGATGCGGCCGTACTCGAGAATTGAAGCTCGAAAAGATTACCAAAAACTATTTTCAACTATAGATTGTCTCGAGCGAGAAGAACAACTGAAAACAGTTTTGGTATCTTAAGTCAGGTATTTTATACGCCTATTTCTTTGAAAACAGAAACAGTAGATCATTTAGTGTTGTCGGTATGCTGTCTTCATAATCTTCTTCGCGATCGATATTTAGAAAATACAGACAACAATTAATACAACTTTGATGTCAATGAACTTCCACCATCTAGAAATATGACGCCACTTACAAGAACGGGAGGATATGCTAATTTCGAGGGATTTGTTATTCGAGATAAATTTAAAAGTTTTTTTAACAGTCCATTAGGGGCTGTTGAGTGGCAAAATCTTCAAGCTCAACTAACAAATATGCAGTGAACTATAATGTATTGTTTTGTAAAAAATATTATTTATTTATCTATGTATTTGGTGCCTTATTAGAATAGAAATATAGAAATATATTTAGTATATTTTGTATACTAAATATTAGCATTATATTTTATATTATATTATATTTCGCATAAGTTATATTTTACATTTTTACATATTTTACATATTTTAAATATATTTTACTATTCTCAAAATATCGGACGATGACAGAAAGATAACCAACCGATAATACCAGGAATATTCATACGCGGTGCAAAACAATCTAAAAATAAAATGTAGTACAGCGTACAATCTAAATTTAGTAAAATAATAATTTTCACCCTACTTATAAATAAATAATGTAATGTTTAATTACCATTATTGTTCATATCTTCAGATATGTTTTGCCAAACATTATCCCTCACTCCTTGATTTTTATACAATGCGTGTTGGGCATTAAAAATGCAAGGATGTCCACTTACTAGTTCTGCTAATTTTACGTCTTCTTCTGGAGAAAACGTAACTTGTGTTGACTGTGACATTTTTAAAAAATTATGAAAAAGTGTATAATAATCTGTACTAAACAATATGTATAATAATACTAATGAACACACAGCCGCGCGCGTCCGCAATTTGACTCCATTCGGAGCAGTCGCTAGATCGTGATCGCGGTCGCGCGCCGCAGTGACTGTCATAGGAATCGGTTTCATCTATCGACTAGTAAACTAGTGCAACGCGGCTGAGATTTGAATCGCGCCGTACCGCGGCGCGTCTGCAGACGCGTCCAGAGGAATCACACCTTTAACGTTGTTATTTAATTAAAAAAAATCCCTTATCGAAACTAGCTGGACGGAGAATACAACTAGAGGAATATGATTATGAAATTAGATATAAACCAGGAGTATTAAATTCAAATGTGAACGCACTTCGTAGAATGTGTACTATAAAAGAAATAAAAAGTGAGAGTTATGAAACATTTTTAAATAAATTAGAAACACAGTTAATAACAAATACTAATGTAAAACAAACAATATGAAATTTATTAGATGCACCTATACATTAAATATTTCATTTTATTATATAAATATATTTTTATATTAATATTTTTAATGGCTTGGTTGTTGCTGTTGATGTGATATTATTTCGTCAATTCTTGGTTTAATTGACTTCGTCAAGATAATTCTCATAGCCGATGAAATTTCCAGACGGTTTCTAGTTTTATTTTTTATTGTCGTTAATGTGGAAAAACCATTTTCACACAAATATGTAGTAGAAAATGGAATAAGTAATTTTAATGCTTCTTCAGCCAAACTAGGATATTCATTTTGAACCTTTATCCAAAATTGACCTATATTTTTATTGCTTCTGAAAATCTCGTGTAAGCCCACATCTGCACTCAATTCAATCAACTTTTCTTCATTTGTAAATGATAGTATATTTTGATCAGATTGTACGAATGGATTTATTACCCAATTACAATTTTTACGAATGTCTTTTGTGGGGTCGAAATATTTGGACATTTTTTCTCTTAATCTACCTAAGTGTTCTTCTATGATAATACACATTTCATTTATTTCATTTTTTGTTAATATATTTTCCTGTATCATGTTAAAAAAATTTGGAAACATATCAAATGTGTAGTTTTTTACTCGATTTGTCCATAGTCTTATTTTTTTTAGGAATGCGTCAATTTTGTTGTACGATATAAAAAGATTAGTATGTGGACCTTGCATACTTAAATTTAATTCATTAAGAATTGAAAATATATCGGAAAGATATGCAAGTTTGGCTAACCACACATTATTTTCGAAATAATCACTAAGTGGTTATTTTTTGTCTCTTAAAAATATTTCTACTTCCGTTTTCAGTTCAAATAACCTAGTCAAAACTTTTCCTCGCGACAACCATCGAACATAAGTGTGTAATAGCAAATTTTTAAAACCTGAACCCATTTCTTCACACATCACTTTAAAAACGCGAGTGTTTACGGCACTAGCTCGAATAAAATTTACTATTTTTATGCATATATTTAGAACGTCAAATAGGTTTTCGTTCATATCTTTAGCGGCTAATTGCTCACGATGGATGAAACAGTGTGTTGAAATAATGTTTTTATGAGCAATTTGTTGAACGCGTGTGACAAGGCCATTAAATTTTCCGGTCATAGCTGCAGCTCCATCAGTACAAATACCGATACAGTTAGAAAATTGTAAATTAATTTTTTGGAAATGAGATGAAATGGTTTTGAAAATTTCTTCAGAAGTACAGTATGTTTTTAAATTTAAGCAACAGAAAAACTCTTCTTGTATATCGTTCAAATCAGTATCTACATACCTTACATACATCAATAATATTATATATATATATATAGCTATATAGCTATATAGCTTCATTATTTATATCAGTAGATTCGTCGAGCTGTATTGCGTAAAAAAATGATTTTTTGATTTTTTCACTAAGCTGATTTTCAATATCATTAGACATAGTATATATTTATTCTTCTACTTATCATATCATTAGACATAGGTATTTTTTTAATCTTTGTCACGTGCTCATTACTAAATAATTCTGTACAAATATCAATCATACACGGTTTTAACAATTTTTCCCCAATCGAGTATGGTTTTTTTGATTTAGCTATGTGTAAGGCTGCCAAATAAGAACATTTTAGATAGATTTTGTCTTCGACCGTATAAGTATTTATCATTTTTTTATTTTTTTTTAATTCTTCGAATTTTCATAAATAAAAGTCCCTTGTATTATTTTTATACTGAGCATGACTAGTTTCCATGTGTCTAATGAGCTTATTTGGTTTTAGTGATGCATTTGCTAATGTCATACCACAAATAACACATTGAGGAACATTCTTTCCATTCTCGTTTAAGTATGTAAAGCCATATTCAACGTAACTATCTTTAGTATATCTTTCTGTATAGGTACTTACAGTTGTGCTTAGAAGCCATAACAGTGCTAATTAAATTAAACAATATGTTACTATCGTCAGTGTACGCGCCCAACACTATGGGCTCCTGAAGGACCACTCGGTAACGCCCGAGTACAATGATAAATGCCAAAAGGCCAATTCTAATGTTAAAAAAAACGCCGACTAAGTGGCAGATAGGCAATCAAATATATTATACGCCTTATAATTTCCGAGTAGGTAATTGCACACGTCGATTACAACGATTGATGACGGGAGGTGGAGTACACGGGATACTAGAAATGCAGTTTACTTAATTGGGGAAATGTCTCTGTGGTGGAATCGGTCTGGTGCAATGACCACAGAGCTCACACAAATAGGGACCTTAAAACTAACTTAATAACTACCGATGACTAGAATTAACGATGAACTGGTAACTTGAGTTTCGCTGACTTGAAGACCTGGGCGGCCTCACACACCACAGCGGGTGCTGGCGATCTTACGCAAGGTTACAGATCGTAACTGACGACGATTGTTTGCACAGTACACACAAACAGAACAGAAACAAAACACACAGACGAATATAATATAAGAACTCACGGTGTATTGTTGGTAACGAAAATGTTTATTGGTTTAGTAAACTTGTTGATGCTGTTACAAGGTATTACCCAAAACCAAAATGATAATTTTGACCTGGTTTTACTATAGTTAAAATTTCTGTCTCATTCATGATTCTTGTTTGCTGTATAGTACTATAGACAATGGATAATTTCCATGTTTTCTATGTCCAAAAATTCCATGTGACGAAAATTTTCTTGATTTGAAAGAGACAACAAATTCAGCGAAAGAAAAGGAAATTATTTTCCGAGAAGTTGCCGGGCATAACAGTATTGCTGGGAGTCAGGGATATCAAAGGTGTTATTGTAAAACAAAATGTCAAAATAATTGATGTGCTTGTCGTGTAGTTAAAATATTATGTAATTCGAAGTGTAGTAGTATATTTATATAATAGTAGTTTATTTAGTGGAAATAAATAATAACCATAATAATTATACATGATTCTGTCGATTTTAATTATATTTTAATAAATAAATGAAATATTACCCGCATTTACTATCAACTGTAGGCATTTCATATATTTCCTAGACATTATCAGCATTGTCTTACTTAATTAGCCACTGTTAATATTAACTAGTCATTACTGATAATGACTGATTTCCGACATTGCCGGTAACATATATATATATATATATATATATATATATATATATATGAGCATGTATATGTTAAAACGATCGAATGACAAACGCACGTACGTGACACCTCTCATTTAAGCAATACACAAAAGGCTATCCATCAACATGTAAATGGCTCCGGATCAACACCAATTTCAGACGTGTCTAGCCATTCAGTATGAACACCCCGCTTACGATTGTCATTTTCATATTACTATTGTCTTTGCTGATTTTTGTCTAAGTGTTAAATACATTATTAAATACTATAGTAATAGTATTTTTACGAGTCAATCATTGAACTTTTCCCATCACAACACTTAGATAAATAACTAAATACAAACATTATTGTGAAACCGTCAAGTAACCGACGGCACGCTACATTACATTTACATGACTACATTGATTAATATTATTGTATTATATATATATTTTCCCTTATTGAAATCTACTAAATCTACTAAAAAAAAATATTTAGATTATTTTTTATGAAGCATTCCGAATAATTGGGAATATTTGTATCATAATATATTCAAAATACTTTAAAAATTTTACCCAAGTCTACAAGTAATGGTAGGTATTAAATATTTAAGTTTATGTAACTTTCAGAACAGAAAAGTTATAAATTAAATTAGTGTTTGATATAAAATCGTAATGTTAGTATATTGAGGTTTATTTGAAAATTTCATAAAAAATGTAATAAATTTAAATCTTTTCATAATCTTCTCAATACAAAATGTACAAAGCAATATTGATAAGAACATGTCATTGATAAGAAAATCAATTATACTGTGATAGAGATGAGATTAAAAAGAAAAACTTCACTAATATCCACAAAACTGCCATAATTCATGTCTTATAATAATTAACTGGCCTTTTGTACACGTAGAACGTTCATTGATGGAGTGACTTGTGACTGCACGATGATAAGTATTATCGTAGTGTATTATCATTGATCCAATACGGGTACATGTTTAAACATATAGGTAAGTGCTCGTTCAATTGTACTAATAGATACTATTTTTTGGTATTTATATATAGTGAGTTTTTATTATTATTATTTAAAATTGATTATGCATATGGTATTATTTATAAGTAAAATAAATAATGATGGGTTAAAGGAATAAAAAATTAAAGGTACATTAACATTTATTTAAGAATGAATAAGTATTAGCACTATTAAAGATACATTGTAATAACCATGATTGTACTAAAATTGTAGGTTTGGTTGGTTGGTTGGATTTCACATGAAATTTTAATTTTTTCAATGGAATTTTGTAACAGCTGATGGCTGCAATATTAATGTTTAAATTTATTGGTAGCAAATCAGAAAAAATAATCAGCTCTTATATTAATGGGTAGTAATGAAAATTTGAAAACGTTCAAAATAAATCTAAAATATTTTGAAAAAAATGTCTTATAAATGTAAAAAAAGAAATATTTAAAAATTATATCAGTAAAAGTTATTAAAATATTATATTAAATATTGTTTTGCTGGCCAAAAATGTTTTTAAACTGTCAAAACATTTAAAAACATAGTAATAACCATTTTTGTTTCTTGAAAAAATATTTTAAAAATATTGATTTTCTGTATGGGTAAATACAAAATAATTAAATACTATACTATTAATTATTATTATTATTATTGAAATTTATTTATACAACTATTTTTATTATTGTTATTATTTTAAACACCCTTCCCACTAATCTTCAAAACAAGAACCATTAAACAGACAGCACGTGATGCAATTTGGCACTATATAGTTTTTTATTGAAAATAATTTCTCCCGAAATTGAATTCATGGAAACAGCCACTTTATGGTTGACCATCGTCAAGGAGGGAAAAGTGCAGATTTTCATTTCGGCAACTCCAGAAGGATAGAACTAGGGCAGGAGTCAATTCATAGGTTATCATAAATATGCTAGCATATTAATATAAAGAGTATAATTGGATATAGATATTTACTGATTATGTGATTGCCTATCATTTTATGTAATAGGTAATAAAAGGTTTGGTTAGGTATTTAAATTATTAAATACCAACATAGATTTTAATTTTCTAAATGGTTCTTAATACAATTAATTATTCTTGCTAACTCAATGTATTTAATCTAACATATTGACACAAATAAAAATATTAATGAGTATACTAATTTGAAAACACATTAATTTTACATTTAATTTTTACATCTATTTTATCATAATTTGTTTTTAGATTTGATTTGATTTGTTTACTCTTCATAAGCGAATACTATTAACATTTTTTTTTAACTTAAAATATTTATCGTGTTAATTTTACAAAAAAAATGTATGATCAATATTTAAAAATAATTAGTATGAATAAAATATAAAAAAAAAAAAACTATTAATATGTTTAAATTTATAAAAATACCAATATTTCTTAATTTTTTGTTAACCTTAATTAAACACTATTATAGTATAAAATCATCATCATTTCTTCTTGTTATTCCTACATTTTCATCAAACACATAGTTAAGAGGACTTCTCACATCATTTTCATCAGGAACGTAGTCTGGAGTGCCTCCAGGTAAATTTTTTAGTAAAATAACTGTATCATATTGCTGTCTTTTCAATAAACCCTACAAACAAATCATAAAATATATATTAAATAAAACTGTGTGAAAAATAATAAAGACTTCCATACTTTATTAATCCAAAATCCAATAAAAACTATCAATTTCTTAGATGGTACATTCATTTTTGTACTTAAATCATCTATAGTCCATTCTTCTGGAAAAATATAACAATATTTTTTAGTTCTTTAATTAAAACTATTTAATAGTAAAAATAAATTATATCTTCAATAGGTGTACATTGAATATTCAATCACAAAATTCAGTGAAGAGTATAAGTCATATAAGTCAAAACAAATAAGAAAATTCTTTGTTGTGGGTTATCAGTTATTGGCTATTAATTTAAAATTTCTTATTCACAACACATTTATACAATCAACAAAATATTTCCCTATAAATAAAGTATTGAGATTCAACTATTTTATATGAAATATGAAATAGTAATATTAATTTTAAATTCAATAAATATATCATTTACTATGGAGTTATTAAAATTATAGTTAAAGTTCTTTTAATATATCAATATATCTAACATAGATAGTTTAGTTAACGACATGCTATATAGTCATACTAATATATGAAAATTGAAAAGATCTCTTTTGATTTCACTATTAAAATGTTAAATGTTAATAAATATCTTAGTACTTTGCATCCTAATAATAGATTAAACGAATGACAACAAACACATAAGCAAAAATGAATCATTTAAGTTATAAATTAAAGTGATTAATTATTTAAATTCAAATATTTATAATTTTATAACAATCAAGTAAATATATACATATATTTAAAAATGCAGTACAGCACCTGTCTCTAAAAACTTTAATATAGGAACTAGATAATTTTTTGAAAACCACAAAATTATAGCGAGTAGCTAAAAAAACTGAACAAAAATTAAGGTGGCAGGATTTAAGAGAAGCATTAAGGGCACTTGCCCTGTGCTCTCAAATCTTAAAAAATGATTTTTGCTTTGTAGATATTATGGTAATAAATAGTAGCGGTGAACAAACACTTACAAAATTAAAAATTATGAAAAATAGATTGAGGATTACAATAAATTAAAATCGTTTAAATCATTTGTCAATTATAAGTATTGAATGTGATGTTTTAGATGACATATAATCTTAAAATATATTAAATTAATTAGGCTAGAAAAAATATAGAAAAAAATTTAAATAATAACTGTATAATATCTATATTTTAATTTTAAATATTGTAATGGTTATCATATTATTTTTATTTGTATTATAAATATAAACTATATATTTTAAATGATTTTAATAAAAATAAAAAAAGTAAGGCACTACTTTTTTATTATTTTAAAATCCTATCGTTATCAAAATACATAATAAATTAAATGTAATTTTGCATATGCTAAAAAATATAATGACTATAATACAAACGGATTATAATATAAAGCATGCACCTTCAATAATTGTTTTCCCTGGGCCCCAAAAGTATAAATGTGGCCCCAAATATGAATATCCTTAAATTAGAAAACCACACATAAAACAATATACCTTGGTTTTGAAAATGCCATAGAACAGTAGCTTGAATTGGTGAAACAGTAATACTTAAACATTTTTTGTTAATAATTATGTCCATCTTAACTTTTCCAACATTAGGGTTCCAAATTAAAGTTCGGTTTACCTGTGTAAAAATGTAAGCACAAATTGAAAACTTGGTAAAAAAAAAATTAATTTTTCTACGTCAGTTTAAAAAATAATAATTTATTAGAAATAAGAAATAGAAGTATCCCATAACCAAAAGTTCAACATCAGATAAGTTTCAATAAAAGTGATTTATAATTTTTAATATTATTTTTGGTGTTGAAAAATTAACGTTTGTAATAACAAATAAAAATGTTGGTTGAGTATTTTAAATTATAGAATAGATTAAAACTTTTTTAAATAGGATAGTTTTCATTAAACAAATAATACCAACTTGGTACTATTATAAAAATGTACATTTAATATTTAAATATATCACATTTATCAAAATTTAACTAAATAAGATTTTCAATTAACATATTTTACTTAACCTTATATGCTTCATAACATTTTTTATAGACATTTAAATGAGCTAAAAACACATCAGGTAGTTTCACAATAAAATCGTCTTCTAATTTTGGCCAATAATAGTCACATATAATAATTCCTTTAACCGTAAACAATAGGTTATATCTACAAATATTAAACGCGTCAAGTGGCGAGGGTGGATCATAAAAATATTGATTTATATTTTTTGAACTGTCTATATCTTTAAGCATCATTGAACATGAACTTAATAATGATCCACCGATTCTGTAAATATGCATTTAAATTAATTTCATTAGAATTAGTAAGAAAATAAATATTAATACAAACCTTGATTCTATCAATTTCAAATATTTTTCTTCTCTAGAAAATATGTTCATATTTTCCATTACAAGGAGACGATCAGCTAATAATACTTTATATTCATGTGCAAACAATTCTCGAGAACCACATACATCAATAAGTAATGCAACAACATCACAACTATACGAATTGTTTATTAATCTACCTAAATGTAATAATTAAAGTAAGCGATTAATTGGTAATGAAAATGGAACACAAACTAACAATGATTTTGTTCACAATTTTTCAATGAAGCAAATTCTTCATCTAAAATAGTCTTGCTTCTTAAAAATTCATTAGAACTATTTGAAATAAGCATGGATATTATGCAATGGATAGTATCCTCACGTTTTCGCGAAAATGCTCTACAATTAAATAAAACAAAATAATATTATTTTGCAGTAAAACTATGTCATTGCTTGTTTATTGTAAATTACACAGTAATTACAAAAACACAGATTTCAACAGTAAAATAACCTTTTATTTACTTTTAATATTCCAAAATCGGTAATTGATTACTAAACTTGTTTGATGCAATATTATATGATGAAATAATTAATAAATAGAACTAACAATAAAAATATTTTTTTTTTTTTAAATGCAATGCTTAAGAAATATATTAATACATAAAATGTTTATAATTTATAAGTCTGAACATCTAAAGCAATCACAACTATTAATGTTATATGTGTAATTATATTCAAGAAGTCCCTAAAAATAAAACCACTATTTATTAAACTAATAATTGTCAATAATTATTTAATAAATATTGGGTCATCAAACAATACCAGGATTTTTTAAAATTATACCTTTAAATTAAAGAATAGTTTCAAGCCTTGAATTATTATACATATATATTATTACTGTATAAGTTGAGCAACTTCAGCTAAAAGTATTCCAGAAGGATCTATTTTTCTCAATACTCTGATTGCTGAAGTATAAACATATAGAACATCTACAGTGCTCATATTAGGTTGTAGTAATTTGCTTTTTAAATTATTCTGAAGTAATATACGCAGTTCAGGATTGAGATCAGAATTTCCCAATGAAACAGTCAAATCATCAACAGCTGGTTCCGAGTATGGAAATCCTATTAAAAATTTAGGATGAAAATAATTCATCATAGTTTTAATAATATTAAAAATAAACACAATGATTTACTAATAATTATGTCATATATTTGATTGAATCTGATTTTCGTGAATGATTTGTAAAGAGAATACTTCAGTTTATTTAAAATTGCATTTAATTTACATTGGCCATATGTTGGACAACATCCTGGGTCCAATATCTTTTTAATCCAGTCAAAAAGAATGTTACACAGCCACTAGAATACATAACCATTATACATTTTTAAAGAAACTATATTTATAATAATTTTAATTTATTATCTTACTTACATGATATAATAATGGTAACAGACTATCACCAAAATTGTCGGTAACTCTTACTGCAACTTCATTTTCAATTATTGAATACACTAATTCTATAACAACATCTTCAGCCAAAGTTTCCATAATTCCTATATGACTTAATTGCCTAAACGGAATTGAATAAGATTAATTATGAGTATCAATTATGAAATATTTTGAAAACTAATTGAGTTTTGTTATAATATATTTTAAATAGATTCAAAAATATAATAAATAATAATATAAGTATAAAATTTCTTACATATTAGTTTTGCAAAAAGCTTGCAATGTATTTTCACAATTGCAATATGTTTTTTCATAGTTACAACCAGAGCACTGATCTAATGTTACATCAAAATAGTTCATATTAGCTGAAATATAAACAAATATAATATATTGACCAATCTTTAATAACAGTTTGAAAAAATGCATATAATTAACAGTCATTGCAATAATTGTATTTATAAGGTATAGGTAAATTTAAAAATATTTTCAATCATGGAAAAATACTCATATATGGGTTTCTAATCATTACTTTCGGAAAATAGCAATACTAATAAAACAGATATTGATATAATAGAAGAAGTGGATACATTTATTTCAATTTCTTAATTATTATTAATAATTATATTCCAAATTTACCGAGGTAAATATAACCTAGTTGATAGTAATATTTTCATACCAATACCCATGTCTATATTTTTTTTTTACCTGGTTGAACTGACAATGTTTTGAGGAATTATGTACCCCATTTGGGAATTTTTTTTAGTAGAAGTTAATAAAAGATTCATTAATATTGAATTTTACTTTACAGATCATACATTTAAAAAAATGATCAACAGAAATCTTGTAAGAAAAACTGTAAATACATTTCTGTAAAAAAATTCAAAATGGAAATATGAATAAAAAATAGGTATGCCAATATTTCTAATATTCTAATATTTAAATTGAAATGTAATATTTGTTCTAAATAGTTTTTGAGAGACATTGGTTTACACACAAGGAAATTTTTAATCTCTATTCTTTGTAAGATAGTTGATAAAATAATGAAGGTGCAGCTATTAATATATTTTTCTGAAATGAAGAAATATTTAAGACTGTATTTATATATTATGTAAAAATAATATTACCTTTGAAATACATGATCCTCAATCCAGTTCTATAAAAATTATAGATTATTGTTTTATAATTAATTGGAAGTTGAGAATACATTAAAGCACGAATTCTTTCAAAAAAATTCTTTAACAAGTTTGTTTCATCATCTTCATATAATAATTGAACACGGTTTATGGTGGAAGTATGTGATTGAATTAAAATAAAAAGGTCATCTATAGCTCTTCTAAATCTTTCAAAACCAGTGAAATCTGTAGGTAAAATTTCTCGTGCATTTCGAAGAACATTTAATTCAGTAATTTCTTCACTCAAAAAGTGTACCCAAAATGAATTAGACATGTTCATATATATATTATTTATAATACGGTGCATTACATTTGCAGTAACTATATGTATTAATTTCTTTTCTTTTATCATTTTTTTTATATTTTCAAATGTTTCATCATCACACATTTCAGGTATCTATAAAAAAAAAATAAAATCAATAAAATGAGTTTTTTTTATAATATACAAAATTATAACCAAAACATTGCCAATGTTAGAATATAAAAATAAATCTAACTGAATTCAAATTTGGCTATTGATACATAGTTTTATTGTTGAAATATTGTATGGACTTTGAAAATAGTTTGATACATTTCCAGTACCCATGGCCTCACTTTAATGTAGATTTTTAACACTGAAATTATTGAAATTGTATCTACCATCAACTATGACAACTTAATAGATTATTTTTGGTAAATATTTAATTTTACTATTATTTAACAGTATGGTCTTAAGGCATCAAATAAAGGAGAATAAGAAGAATATAAAAGATAATATAATTTAATACACCTATTATATTTTAACCTACATGAATCTATAATTTATACATTATTTAGCTCCTACCATCATTGATTAACTAATCCTTAAGTACGTTATCGACCATAGTATTATTAAAATTAAATGTGTTAAAATCCAAAATATTTAAACTAGTTTTAAACTATCATAACAAAAGTTGGGATTTAATTGCATAAAATAAGAAACTTCAAAAGTAGCATAGTTAAGAATTTATTTTAAGATACAGATTACCAGATTTAAAAATTTTTTTGCATATTTTAAAACTGTTTAGATTTTAGTTCTTATTTTGTACTTTTTGACATATTTTTGTATTTCCGACTTTAATTATTCAGAATTGATCATATTTATATAAATTTATAAATTTGTAATAAGTTTATTGTTAATCAAACATCGATAAATAATAATATGATTTAATTGTTATCATAAAATGTAAACACTGTTTTCAGAAAACAATAACATTAAAACATTCTGACAATACCTATTTAATATTAACACTAAGACTTTTATAACTCTAACCTTGTTGATCTAATTTGTTGTGTTTATAATTTATTTATTTTATCCAAGTAAAAATCACTGATATTTATCATACTTTTTGTTGGTGTTTTAGCATACTTAACGCACAATCAACAATGTTAAAGATAATATTATGGCACATATGTGATTTACAGTTATAAAATCCCAAACCCTAATCTTATGGAGTTATCTCATGGTAGACGATCTATTGAAGTTTCTAATTTATAACACAACAAGGAAAATAATGATAAGACAAAGGCGTGAAAAAAAATCTATGTAAATTAGTTCGGCACTAACCTGAACTTCATTGGAAAGTAACGGAAACGCAGATACAATATGGGTCCAACACGCTTCTTTTAGTGCTGTTGCCATTTTTTTCTTCTATTTAATACCGAAAGTTTCAAACTACCGCCAATGAATGGATAACTTGAAACGAAACATTAACAAACCGACGACAAAAAAAAGAAATAACCAATGCGTTCGATGGAATGTAAACGCTATCGATGCTCGTTGTTGATAAAAAGGAGAAGAAAAAAAAAGAAATGGAGGGGATGTCGCTCGATCAACAAGCCATATTCAGAGAAATATTGTCACCGTGGGCGCGTCGTGCCGCGTCGCGTCGTACCTGCGTGAGTAGGGCTCAACACCGGGTGAATTGCGCTGCAGGAAGGGATGCTAGGAGAACAACGCGAACCGCACACACGCACGCACAGTTGCGGACAGCCATTACGCGTGTGCGTGCATCACGACGCGGGGTGCACTGCGATGCGCGTGCGTGATCTGGAATGCAGCGCGTCGTTCAATACGGGGAGGCGCGTGCGCGTACGTGACATGATGCTCCGCGTACGACGTATACGCGTTTGCTGGTACGTGCGTACGATTAATACTGCGGGTCTTCGTGTTAACTAATTCGTATAGGCAGTTAATTTATTGGTGATGGGCGTCTATTGGAAATTAATCGATATTTCTAAACGATTCAAATCGGAACGAAAAAAACAACCCAAAATAATATCGATTCACTGAATACGCGGTTTTTTTTTTTTTAATTATTGATGGTATTATTCGCAGTTTTTCTTGTTCTCTAGGTGAAAAGTAGATTAAAATATAAAATGTATAATAACTGGGAGTATCATTTGAACTGTTCCAACCAAAAAATATTCAAAAAACTTCAGGCTAATGCCGAACAAAAGATAACTTAAATTTGAAAATTAAAAAATACGTGTCAACAAGGAAAAACGACAACGTTGCATTTGCCTTTCGAGCACCATTCGTTCGGCATTTTACAGCTATATTGATTTACACTCCTCGTATACGTGCCTTTTCGCCTCGTTTCTTCACCACCCACCATCTGCCATCTCTCTTTGTGTAACATCAGTATTGTGTACGATTCCAGGTTCTTCCATTTTATATAACATTCCTACACATTGTGGCACCGAATAAAATTAAAACTACTGATTCGAATAATTAGATCGACTCGCCCACCATTTTCAATTTACCATTGTTTCAATTACCAAAATATTTTTTTTTAAATACATATATATATAAATATACAATTTTAAATAGAACATTTTTGTTAGGTAATATATAAAAAATAATTGATTTTATTTTATTAATGATCATTTATTTAATATTACAATTTGCTATGCAATTTAATTTAAATGCATGGAGTACGTGCCCGGCGTCATTCCATACGTACTATTGTAAACTCATCTACGAGCGAGTGCACAATGTGCACTTAAAAAGTACTGTACGACAGTAGCGGCTCGTAGTAAATAATCTGGGGAGACTTAAATTATTTAAAATACAACAACGAACAAGAAAAACTTTTTTATTGGTAAATTAATTATACTTAGTACATAATTTAATATTTAGTTAGTATTTTTACCTTAATTTCATTGTAAATTTTTTTTAACTGCGAATTCGCAAATGACGGTGTACAGCGACTAACGACGGCGCGATGGCACGGAAATTATTGTCGTGAACCCAGTTTCAAAAGCGTCTATAATACAGGGATTATTCTCCCCAACCCCCTCCGTCCAACGAGCCAAACCATTACATGTTACGATTTAAACTGTCGGACATGAGTCTCACTGAAAACGGCAACCGTCGTCGAAATTACTAAGATAGTGTTTCCATCGAAATAATTATTTATAGGTTTTATATTTTATGGCCATAAATTTATAATAATAAATATAAAAAACGCTATAACACATGAATTTGTGCAATATAAAAAAAAATATTTCTATACATTTTTAAATAGTTATTATTTACATGTAGCTGTTTTTTTTTTTTTTAAAGGGGAGCGGCTAATGTCCATACATCGCATGCAGTACAATGTACATTGTCTAATCGTCATAACATTAATTTAATTTTTAATTAGGTAGTTAATATTATAATTAGAGGAAGGGCTTTGATTTTTCGCGTATTTTTATATTTGTCATTTTATTAAGGGGGCTGGAGAGAAGCACGTTTTAAGGAGTAATATTTAGGCATTTCATATAGCAGTTACATTTGGAACGTGTCAATGTGCGAGAAGTAAATGAACGTAAGTGTGTGTAATCCGCTATGTCGTATTGTTACCACCCGCTTATCGACCCCTATACTATTTCTTAGAACTACAAATTACAATGATAATCAAAATAATGAACAATAGTAAATTAATCTGTATCAGTGGTTTTCAACCTTTTTAATAATGCGGCACACTTCATCTTCAACAAAATTTTCGCGCCACACAAATCCATATATTATGTGAATCATATTTTTTATATTTATGTGTATACTATTTACAGTCTACTCTGTTAGAGGGTTATTTATTGTGAAATATATTAATACAATCGATCGATCTATACGGCTGCGACGGGTATACTTACAATAAATAATATTATATGTACCTACGATTAGTTCGATCAGTTTTCATATCAAATATCAATAATAAGCTGGTAAATATATACTTATAAAACAATTTATAGAATTATCGCGGGACATTTAAGGCTGCTCGCGGCACACCGGTTGGGAATCACTGATCTATATTATCTATAGACCATGTGTTTTCAATTAAATATTTTTAACAATTCTAATTGTCTAAACATATAATTACCCCAGACTTACCGTAAATATATTTTATTAAGATATAATTAATTTATGCTAATTACGAATAGCTCTTCAATATTCAACAGATGAATTGTACATACCAATAGACTATAATTATTTAAACAATAAATATTATAATAGTATAATAGTTTTTTTTTTATAATTATTTATTTATTATAGGTAATCAATTTGTTTTATTTAACAAAATTATTTCTTATTTAACCAAGTTCGGTGAAAGATGTTCCAAATAAATTATAGTTAGTTTGGGCTCCATGTAATTTTGCTAGAAGTCATCATCACGTTTGATTTCCTCGTACAATAGACCGTTAAATTCGAATTCAGTTTTTCTTATAATTATTATATTTTTATTTATATATACTTAGATTATTATAATTATTATATTAATAATGGTTGCTGTACGGGCCGGATGCGTAAAATAATGTTACGCGCAACCCGGTTGCCTGGCACTTCGTGCACACCACCTGCTAATTACCGATTTCGTCGGCCACACGATGTGTAAGTGTGTAATGTGTAAATAGATTGGACAGAAATGGTTGGGATCGCTGCGCAAATACTGTCCGACTATGTGGTGCTATGGGTGTGTATGTGTGTATTGTGTGTACTTAAAATTATGGATGGAACAAAAAGGTAACTAAAAAACAATGTAATAAAATGGTAACTATATGTTGCTGTAATAAAATAATCGATTAATAAATAAACAATAAATCACAGAAACATAGATAAGAAAATGTATAAAAAATAATACAACAATTGATAATAAATAATAGCCCTTATGGCAAAATAATAATTAAATAATTATGTTTCTTTTGGACCAACAACAAACTAAATAACAAATAAATATATGATAATAATGATATTACGGCCCTTTTGGCCCA